CCGCCTGTGGGCCCTCACGGCTCCCGAGCCCACCCCGCTGGGCGGCGCCGGGCCCCCGCCGCGCCGCATCCGTGTGGACTTGGACTGGGAACGGGGCCGCGTGGCCTTCTACGACGGCCGCTCGCTGGACCTGCTCTTCGCCTTCCAGGCGCCCGGGCCCCTGGGGGAGCGTATCTTCCCGCTGCTCTGCACGCGCGACGCCCGCGCCCCGCTCCGTATCGTGCCGGCCGAAGGCTGAGTCCCACCCACACCGCCAGGAGCGAAGCACTCACGCAGGAGAAGCGTGTGCACCCTTCCGCTTGGCCTCAGTGTCCGCGTCCACACCCAAAGCCGAGTCCATGCCTGCCCCTCCCTCCCGGACGCGGCTCCACGTTCGGTGCCCTCCCGCCTCATCTCTCCCCTCCCACCTTCCGCTAGTCCAGACCGGAGCGCTCCACCAGGATCCTTATCCACGGCCTCCCTTCCCGCTCTTGCCTCTTCTCCTGGTCTCCAGGAAGGGCCCAGCCCTTCTCCACAGTTCTAAGGCTCGGGCTTCCCTGCCCTGGCCAATCTGAGCTTTCTCTTCAAGACTGCCTGGGTCCCAGGGCCCTCTAGGAGGCTTACTGTCCTTTTGGGGAAGGGGGCAGGCAGCTCTACTCCGTGCTGCCTGCTTTCTGTGCTCATAGCCTTTCCCCCTTTGGAACCTCCTGAAGATTCCCCCCTGTAAGGAACCACTGGTGCTCTCTCCCCGACCTGGGAATGGCCCAGACACCCCAAGCTTATCCTTGTATATAGCTTCACATCTTTCTCCGTATGTATAAATGGGCCCATATTTAACACATTTTGTGATGCTGGGTTATTTATTTTGTGCATCTGTGGCAATAAATGAGATCTCAGTGGTGGTATGGATTTGACTCATCTCTGCAACTGTGCATGGCAAGAGGCCTAGAAAATGATGTCAAGATCCCAGTAAGGAGTGGGGCGGGCTGAGAGCTGGACATCTGGGCTGGCAGACACATCAAAGCCTAGGAAGGAAGGGGTATGAGTACTATAGGGGACACACCCCCATCTCTTTGCTCCCTCTCTTTTCCTTCCTCACCCAGGGCCCTGGCACTATGCTGGATCTGTCTCTGAGGCCAGAAGACGGAGGAGATAGTTGGCTCTAAGTGACCAGTCTTCAAGCTGGCTTTGTTGGAAATCCTGTATCATACGGTGAGGAGAGGCCATGACTATTTCCTTTTCTATTTCCCATTAACGGTGAGAAAGCAAAGACCTCTCTCCCAACTCCTCTGGAGGACATGAGGGGGGGAGGGGAGGGCAGGAGAGGGGAAGGGCTGGGAGCCCCCTGGGAGCCCTGAGGTCTCCCACAGGCCTCACATCCCACAGGCAAGGACTAGGAGTTCGGATTATATAAATACATTACTGGAAGAGCTCGAAGCCAGGATTAACAAGCATAGCTGGGGCAAGACTGCCCCAAATCCGACTGGGACCCTGGCAGTGAAAGCTGGGGCTGTTGAAAACCCAACTTAAGTGTTTGGGACTCAAGGAGAGAATGCAAGGGGCCAAGATAACTGGATCCCAGGACAGGCAGTTTGGCAGTGAGAACAAGGGGGAAAGACTGGGACCAAGATGTCTGGATCCCTGGAGAATAGAGGATGAGTACTGGAAGGAGAAATGAGGGCTGGGGGAACCCAGAAGTCTGGGTTCTGGAATAGCAGCAAGTCAGAATTCCAGGATCTCTGTCTACCCTCGTCTCCCTCTTCCCTCCATCAGGCAGAGGAGAGGGGAGGAGGGGACTGGAGGAGGGATCAAACCATGGGTTTAGTCCCCAGGTAGCCACATGAATACATTCAGGGCCAGACAGACACAGGAATGGTGGGGGAGAGAGGAATTTAGTGCTGCATTGGCCCTGGAGGGGGCTGGGAGGGGTCAGGAGGCTGGGGAGGGGTGGTGGGGCTCGGTCCTGGGGTTGCACGACGCCGTCCTTTGCGGTGGCCCCGTACACAGTGTGTATGACCACAGCCCTCCTCTTCCTCCTCATCACTCTCCGTGGAGCTCTCGCCAAAGGCCCGAGGTTTCTCGTAAATACAGCAGCCTAGATTTGGAGGGAGGAGCCCGGTAAAAAAGGAGCAAAAGTTAGGGTGTACAGACAGTTCTACTCCCACTGGATCTCAGTAACAACTACCTCCACCATGGGCTCCTTCTCCCTTCCAGGATCCAGCTTCCCCAGGCCCACCCCCTGGGGCTCAGGCACCCAAACCCCTGTCCTTCCCGCCAGGAATTCAAAGCTCCACTTCTCCCCATTCTGACACCTGTCGCCTTCAGGCCTCGGCATATCCCCACCTTGCTCCCTCTACTTGAACCTGATCTCCCTGAAGCCAGGGACAGGACGGCAGGCAGAGGGGAGCCAGAGCGCTGGCGCTGCTGGCGGCCAACAATCACTCACATTTTGATGAGCGGCGGCCCATGTGTTCGTTGTCCACAGTGTCACTCGTCCATTCTACCTTTTTCTCTGGCTTCCGTTTCCGAAGCTTGATGGTCAGGCTCCGGTTCTCCTGGAAGGTGGAGACGCACGGGCATACCTGTCTAGTCCCCTGCGGCTGACCTTTCCCACTCCCTCCCGGGGCCCCAGTTCAATCAGTCACAGACATGGCAGCAGAGGAGCTGAGTGCTGGGAGAGGACAGAACACAACAGGGCTTTGACCTCGAGGAGTTCCTGGGGAATCGGATGTTCTCCGCAACTGCTAGTATACAGAGAAGACACAATTCCTAACCTAGGGAAGGTCCCAGCAAATCTTCAAAGGAAATGATAATCCTCGCTGTTTCTCCGTCTTCCTCCCCAAATCGATTATCCTTGGGGGTCTTAATACTTGAACATTATTTTCTCAGTCCCCAATACCTAATCCTTGACCTCCCTTTCTTCTTCCGGACCCCTCTCTCATCCTCAAGCCCTTCGCTCCCCAATTCCGGTCCACCTATGCCCTGGCATCTTCAAATAATAGCAGAGATGCCAGGATGCTAGGGAATAGGTCATCTCTGCTAACCTTATTTGAAAGGCCCTTAACCCAGGAGCTATTAAGCCCAATACACCTGCTCCCTTTGAAAGCCACTTAACCTGTTTTTGCAAAAATGCTACTCATTTCTCTATTTTCATCTCTTCTGATTTCTCAAAATACTATCTCCGCCTCCTTTGTCTTGTTCACTCATTTCCTCCATTTCCTTTTAGAGTCACCTGTTCAACAAATACTTATTGACAAGTATGCCTCTGGGCAAACTGCCCTACAGCAGGCCTCCAGCCATGCTTATTCACAGAACCCTTCATCTTCCCCCAGCACCTGCCTTGCTCCTCAATCCCCCAGGTACCATCCTTGGGTCACCGCCACCCCGGGCAGCAGCACCTGCACCCCAACTCTGACTCCCTATCCCATGTCCCCGCCCCGGGCAGCA